CATGTAATTTTGTGACTACTAAATGTTAACGTAGTGTTTATTCAAATTAAATAAAAATATCTATTGATTGGTTGACAAACAGATGTTTATCACGTATACACGTGCAGTTCACTCATACACACACATACCCCTGGGACCAAAATAGAGACATTTAACATTTTTATTTTTTTTATTTTTCTTTAATTTTTTTAGGTGTCCCCCACTCTTACACAGGCTTAATCATGTTACAAAGGGTCCATAAAAAACTGGAATAGATCTCAGAAGTATGCCGTACATACTTGCTTTAGAAAAGACAGGGCTTCACTTAGAAGAAAAGCTGAGAATCATGTCAATTGAGTAAGGCAAATACACTAGGAAAGTAGGTTTCAACAAGGGAGGGGTCTTCTGGAAAATGCAGGACTTATAAAGGATTGCTAGAGCAATACACAAGTCTAAAGTGTAGAGTAATCCTTTACAAGGCAACATCTGCTGTGGCACTTAAAGTAGCTGTACAATAATATTTTAAGACCTTCATAAAAACATGAGTCATCTTTGAACACAAAGCTGGAAAAGCTACTTGATATATCTCCAACTTCACACGCGCCTCCTGATAGTCAAAATGCCCATCCTATTGACACATTGAATGAATCAAAGGATTATTATTGAACTCTTTATAATTACATTTAAATTGCAAAAGGGTAAAAATAACCAAATAATGTTCAAAAGTTACCAAAATCAGAACATCAACCCAGGCCATAAGGAATCAAATGAACCACATCAAATACATCTTAATATAAAACAAACAAACAAAATTAAATGACTGATGACTCAAAAATATCAAAGGTATCAGAAATGAGAATACAAGATATCAGAAGGATGAGGACATATGCTACAAAGAACTCAGAATAACAAACCAGAAAATGGAAATAAGGCAAAAATTCAGTAATCAAGAGTAATTTAATACATAGAGTGGGTGGTCACTACTGAAAGCATAATTAAGGAAAGAGAAGAGAAAGAGAGATGAAGAAAAATCAGTTTCAAGTAAATAATTAAGAGAATTAAGAATTTGATAGAAACTGACAGATCTAACAGTACTAAGATATAATTTAAAAAACAATAGAAATGTGACTCATACAAATATAAAATTGACATACAAAAATTTATAACTATCTCAATGAGTATATCAATAAAATGAGAGATATAGAATTTTTAAGAAATAAGGGTTTATGACATTTATTTGGAAAAGTTACAATAAAATATTTAGTTTCCTTTTTAATTTTATTGAAAAAATGTACACATAGAAAAGTACATACATCTCAAGTGTATAGCTTGATGAATTTTTAAATTGAACATACCCTTATAAACAAGCCCAAGAAAAAGAACATTTCCAGAACCCAGGGAACCTCCTGTATTCTTCCAGTCGCTCTCTCCCATGTAAAGATAGCCATAGTATGAAACAGAGACTAATTTATGTAATAGCTAGTTTTTTTCAAGGACAGAGTTATTGCATTTTAATAAAATACAGAAAATCTACCATTTATATGTGCCAGTTACATGAATTTGAATAGACACACACAACTGTGTAACAATAACCACATTATGGGCAATAGAAATATTCTATATTGTAGAATTGTGAAATTCCTTTGTTAATTTCTACAAAAATGCTTTTCTTGGTTTTAACTCGGGTTGCATTGAATATATAGATAATTTGCAATTACATTTAATTAATAGATCAGTATCTTCTTTATCCCTTTCTTTCTTTCATTCTTTTGTTCTTAAATTCAAATTCCATGACCGACATTCCCTATCTATTAATTTAGTCTCCCCAGGTGTTGAGCTCAGGCACCTATGTATTTTAAACACATTTTTGAATAATTTATTTAAGTACATAGCCATGAACTAGTTTATAGATGAGTATACAAGATTTCCAAGACAAGACCCTTACCGACACAAAAAGTTTGACCTTTATCTCTGCCAGATCTCTCATATTTTGTTTATTACATAGAATATTAAATTTATCTATAAGTGTTCCATCTCTGCTTTCAATACTTCCTGTTTATGTATTCATATATTTTCTCCCTATTAAACTCTCAGTGAGCTTCAAGTATTTTTCATGCCACTTTAAAAGTTAAGTAAATATAGTAATCTTTATTAAATGATTATGAAGTTTGTCATACCTTATTTTGAGACAAGTAAACAGGTTATGTTCTCAGGAAGAAAGAACTGGGTTTTAGAGAATTTAAGTGATAAACCCAATGGCGTATATTTATTTAGTATCTGAGCCAGGATTGTGTCCTGTAGCATTAGATTGTTTTCCAGCCCTATGTATTGCTCTGCCCTGAGGGTTATTTTATACCAGAGTCCAAAGTGTATTCATGTGATCATTTTTATCATGTAGCTCATGGTTCCAGAGCCACTCATTTACTATGAAAGAAACACATTAAATTATCTGACTTTTCCGTCCCAGAAGATAATTACCTCATTTTCTCCTTGGAGCATCCCTGTGGACATCAAGAAGAGCTTGAAAGTCTGCTATAAAACTCCAAATGATCAGTGATCATAGGGTATGTTAACTGAATGAGCAGTTCATTTCCACAGGTAAGAGGAAAGTGTTTCTTATTACTTACAGAATTCTTCAGAAGTCATAACCTTGAATCTCAAACTAGATTCCACATTATAATATTTAAATCTGAGATGGAAATTTCTAGTTAACTGAGAATTAAATTAAAATTGAACAAGGAAATTCCAGGGAACATTACAAGGATAATAGGGAAGACTCCTTGCATGTTTAGGTCAACAGATTTGGAAATTAGACATTTTATTTCACTTTCTTGATGGAATGTAACAGCTGGAATAAAGGTAGTTGAAATAAAGGGATGTATTACAAATTTAGGAAAATTATTAAATAGAGAGCAAATTAACTATAAACCAATCATCAGATACATGCCAGTTGAGGATCATAATTTGTTTTTCTAATGCAAACACATAAATGAATTCTAAATTTGTTTTACTGGTTAGCTGCTTGCTGAAGAAGCCACTTCAGTTTTCTTTTCTTTTTTTTTAAGTCATGGTCTGCTTAAACTTGATGGCTTTATAAAAGAATTCAAACACACGAGGATGTTATTTTGTATTGTTTCCAGAAGACAACCTTTCCAGAATTATGGCATATCAAAATGAATTGCAACATAGTCAACTGCCCATAGCTTTTTTTTTTTTTTAATTTTTTTTCAACGTTTTTTATTTATTTTTGGGACAGAGAGAGACAAAGCATGAATGGGGGAGGGGCAGAGAGAGAGGGAGACACAGAATCGGAAACAGGCTCCAGGCTCTGAGCCATCAGCCCAGAGCCTGACGCGGGGCTCGAACTCCCGGACTGCGAGATCGTGACCTGGCTGAAGTCGGACGCTTAACCGACTGCGCCACTCAGGTGCCCCAATTTTTTAATCATTACAAAAGTTTATTTAACAAAATATTCAATATGAAAATGCACATAACCTGATTTTTATATTGTAGTAAGACAGGTGCTATGGAGAGGGGACATGTGGAAGCCATTTTGATTTCTTCTGATGAACACACACGTTGTTTATATTCGTTCCAAAGCTTCTGACATGATGATGCTATTTCCTCGTATACCACCATTCCAATACTGTTCTTTTGCCCACTAGTTGCCATTTGCACACTTCCATCTATCACAAAATTCATAAAGGGATTGAACCCCTGCAATGGTCCTTGGACGTGTCTGCCATTTGATTTCAATGATAGTTTCTTGTCCATAATTTTTTTTTTTCAACTCGGGAGGGTGAGCTTTGCTCATGGTGTCTACTCGACCACCTCAAAGATGCCTCCAAATGGAATTCATGGTGTTCTTCATGCTCCCGCTAGACACAGCTGCAAGTGTGGGACAGAGAAACCTGGTCTTCAATCCTGTCTTTGCTTCTAACTATGGGTATGACCACGGCCCGGTTATAGGTCAGGCTGTGTCTCAGTTTTCTCATCTATAAAAGGATGCTAAATTACTAAGTTTGCAGGTTGCTATGCAGATGACATAAGATAATGTACACACAATTTTTAACCCTCAGTAGCCACTTAATATCATGGGATTGCAGCTATCATTGCTGTCCTTCTCAAGCTTAGCATTTATGACATTGTTCTCATAGATGTGCCCTGTGTATGTTTTCTAACTGTATTACAGGTGAAGAATTGAAAAAATTAGTCCTCCAGATTGGTCTATTTTGTTAAAATTGAGAGTTTGTATTTTTGTCTATCTCCTAAGATGAAATGAGCTAGATAAGGAAAAAAATTATTATGGACAAAATCATCAGGGGGATGTAAGTAGACATGCTATCATTTTTCTGACATGACCAAAGTACAATGCAATGATAGCAATGAATTTCCAAGATGCCTGACACCATAGACTATTGTGATGGTCAGAGAGGGCTGCCCTGTATGACAAGGGCTAATATCTAAATCTAACATCCTATATTGTACTCATTTGTGAATATTTTGAATTTAAATAATTTTCACACTGTATTTCTCATTTAAATGCATCCCAGGGATACACATGTAGTTGGTCCCATTTTAACAACTGGACGCACACACACATGCACACACACACACACACACACACACACAAGGAATTTCACACACATTTTACAAAATCTAGGACTAGTAACAGGTATGTAATTTTTATTATAATATTTTCAGGTTTTTAAATTTCTATATTCATTCATATTTGAAGATTTTCAGATGATGCAATATGAAGCAAGGTGGGAGAAAATTTAACAGAAAACCACTGGAAATTAACCCAATAATTGGCATAATTTGTTTAACATGAAAAATTTAACCAACAACTTAATAAAATAATTTCTTTATTTACGCAGGATAATGTATCCTCTGGGACACAACTTCTTCATCACTGCCTTTTCCTTCACTGACAAGGATTTCAACGTGTCCTTCTAAGAAACAAACATGAGAATACATAAAGTGGATTCTATTTTCAAAAATATCGCCTTTAAAGCCTGCAAATAAACACTAAAATGCCAGGGTTGACATTAGATTTAGATTTATACACAATTAAGTTGAAAAATGTAACTGAGTTCACTACGTTTATATTGACGGGTTTCACAGATGATTTTGAGGTGCAAATCTTCCTCTTTTTACTATTTCTAGCAATCTACCTTTTTACTCTGGTAGGAAATTTGGGACTAGTTATATTAGTCATTGGGGATTCTCGGCTACACAACCCCATGTACTACTTTCTGAGCGTATTGTCTTTCCTGG